CTTGGGGCCCAGCACTTCCTCGCCTCTGCAGCACCTTCCTCTGAGAGGGGCCGCTTCCATTCCTATGAACCGAGCTGTGGGTGGAAGGCTGATGGAGGGAAGGCAGGCTCCCTTACCCTCTCGCCATGTGGCTGGGATACGCTGCGGGGGCGTACCACCTCCCCCCCGCCCCCCAGAGCCTATACACTGAGGTGCATAACATTGCACCTCATTGTTAAACTTCTGGAGAGCTGATTTGTAGGTAAATAGGAGGGACCTCACGGCCCAATTCTTGCTCTGATGTGGACTGCTTGTAACAACCTCCCCTTTTATCTCATCTCCCCTCTGCTCTGTCAGCCATGCAGCAGATCTGACCACGTCATCCCTGTGGTCACCCCTCAGGACCAAGTGTACACTGCACTCATTAACAGGTTTAGCAAGGTCCCGCAGATCTGGTCCTTGCCTAATGCGGGATAATGGGATTTTGAATTCTCTGGGAACAATAGAACTGAGGCTAGTTAAGGCCTTAAATGCCAGACAAGTGTCCTAAAAGCTAGGGCTAATTACTTGAGGTTTTAAAGCAGTGGCTGGATGGGGCATTGCGTCAGCATTTCTGGAGTCAGAAAAAGACTGAGGAGAGCATTTGAAAGTAGGGGCTGAGGTGAGTTCATCAGCAGCTTCCTGGGGGCTTGAGCCCTGTGCCAGGCTCTGTTGGATGGGCGAGGGGCTTTTAGGGATCACTCAGGGATCGGATGGAGGAAAAGGGGGGAAGGTGTGTTGGAGTTTGCCGATGAGGAGCATGGGTTCCTGACACAGGAGCAGTTTCAGGGGTGAGGGCACCCTTGCTGCAGGAGGGGGCAGGAGAGGCTCCCTCACCTGTCTTGCTGAAGAATTCGAACAGTTGGTACAGCTGAGACCTGCTGCTGGAGGCCCAGGTCCTGGGACTGCTGGGATCTGGCCAGCTCCCCAGCCTCATGGACACATAACATCCTAGAGAAGGCCCTTGGTACTGGGGGAGGGGGGGTGGGCAGCAAGCTGAGGAGGTATGTTTTCCCCTTCTGGGTAAGAGAATTGCTTATAGTTGAAAGGCAGGAAGTACCTGCACCCCTGCCCCGCCCTCCCAAAGGGCTGCAGGTCTAGGTCACATGTGCTCACACGTGTACAGAGGCTGACTTTGATATCCCTGCACACAAAGGCCTGGACCCCTTGCACTAGTGCCTACAAACCAGCCTCCCTGAGCACAAGCCTCACTCCTCTCCCACCATCTATACCCCAGGATTTCCCTCCCACCCAACTGAAGACAGTGGTATAGTCTGGCTTGTCACCTGCCACCTGCTCCTGCCTTCCCCGTTTGCTGGAGGAAAGCTGTTGCCCTGTGGCTTTGAGTTGCTAGAGAGGGGTGCAGGGAAACTACAGTACCCCTGGATAAGGGGGGGCAGGCTTACCCTCAGGCTTGCTCTGAGGGGCAGGGGGAAGGCTGTACCCCCACCCCCAAGCCTAGGACAGGACAGGTGCAAGCTGCAGGGGAAAGGAGACAGAGTCTCTTCCGGCAGCAGGAAGTGGTAACCACCTATGGGGAAACAAGGCTTGTTCCTCCCTATGGGGTGGAGCAAAAGGGGAACCTTAGCTGAGCACTGCTGTCCCCCTCAGAGGGGGGTTGGAGGGAACAACGGCTGAGGTTCTATCCTCTGGTGCTGACCTTCCTTCCCAGCCCACCCTGGGAACGTTGCACCCGGTTCTCCAGGCTCCTTGCACTTATCCCTTAGGGCCATGACTTGGGAAGGGTGGGCTCCATCTTAAAACCCTAAGGTTCTGGGGGAAGCTGGTGACTCAAGGAAGTCCAGGGCCTGGAGCAGCTCCTAGCATTGAGGGCCAATGGCCGTGCTGTGAAGAGTGCTGTGTGGCAGTGGTGGCCAGGCAGCCTTGTAGATGTGGCAGGTCAGCAGCCAGAGGGTGCCAGCTTGCTGGGCACTTTGGGGCTCTCACACTGGCCCTGGCTGCTTGGCAGGAGAGCTCTGGGCACAAGGCGGCCCAGGTGTGGCCTAGCGCCCAGCGGGAGGGGAGGCAAGGCCCCAGCTCAGTGGGACCCCCTTCCCCCAGGCATCCTTCCTGGGCATG